CCATGATTCCAACCTCAGTGATTCCATGATTCCAACCTCAGTGATTCCATGATTCCAATCTCAGTAATTCCATGATTCCAACCTCAGTAATTCCATGATTCCAACCTCAGTGATTCCATTATTCCAACCTCAGTAATTCCATAATTCTAACCTCAGTGATTGCATTATTCCAATCTCTGTGATTCCGTGATTCCAATCCCAATGATTCCATGGTTCCAACCTCAGTGATTCCATGATTCCAACCCCAGTGATTCCATGATTCCAACCCCAATGATTCCATGATTCCAACCTCAGTGATTCCATTATTCCAGCCTCAGTGATTCTATTATTCCAATCTCAATGATTCCATTGTTCCAATCTCAGTGATTCCATGATTCCAAAGAACACCCACCCCAGGGGGGTCACAGGGACAATCCCCCAGCCCCTCTTGCCATCCACGTGGTTTCCCACAGGGTTGGTCTTTGCCATGGACGTGCTCTGGCTATTCCTGAGGCGCTGCATCCCACAGCTCCTTAAAAACTTAAAAAACACCCATGGACACTTTTCCAGGTGCAGTCTGTGCCTCCCTACCTACAGGGGAGACGACCATTCACATCTGTCAGCATTTTCTGCAAGCATTTGCTTCATTAGGGGTGCCTCAAGAGATAAAAACAGATAATGGCCTTGCATACAGAGCCAAAAAGTTGAGGATTTGTCTGCATCCCCTTCCAGAGGCACATCCAGCCAACAGCACAGCCCCCCCGTGTAACTGTTGGGGGTTTTGACAGTTTTATAACCCTGAATTTGCACCTTCTGGAGAATGGTGACAGTTAATGATTCATTGCCGTGCTGGAATTTTTCTTATGATGTCTTAATATCCAAGCATGGAGCAGAGCTCAGCAGAGAGGGAAAATAAAAACCTGGAACAAAACAGTTTGGGAAAAAATCCTCCCTGTGAGGGTGGCACAGGGTGCCCAGAGCAGCTGTGGCTGCCCCTGGATCCCTGGAAGTGCCCAAGGCCAGGCTGGATGGAGCTTGGAGCACCCTGGGATAGTGGAAGGTGTCCCTGGCAAAGGAGGGAGATTTTAAGTTCCTCCAGCCCATAATCAGTGGGAACTCCAGTAGGTGGCTCCTGTAGGAACAAATTAAAAACCAGTTTGGAGTGAGACACTTCCACTGCTGCACGTTCAGATCAAACCTAAATGTGGGGTGTGGGACAGCAGTGGAAAGGATTTGGGTCCCTCCTTAGACCTAGAATTGCCAAAACCTGACAGTGCAATTTGTAACTCATCAAAGCCTGGCCCAGATCAAGGACAGGTTTTAGTGAGGACTGTGCACTTCTGTGTCCATGGTTGGTTTATTCCTCAGCAGAAGCTGACCTGCTCCCTTTTCTCCTGGTGCTTCCAGTAGTTCTCGGAATTTCTCTGGGATTCACAAAACCATCTCCTGTCTAGACAGAGGTGATTATTTATTTACCTGTTTTCCTCTGCACTGAACAGCAGAGATTAAATTCTCATGCAAATATTCAGTTAAGGAGTTAACAAGAAATTAAATTCATAATGGGGGGAAATTTTAAATTATTGTTGCTGCTATTTAATGTGACTTTTTTTCTGTGCCTATGATAAATTTTTGGGGAAAACGACATATATGAGTATTTTTCTAGGAATAGTTTAACAAATACACTCCAGTGCAGGTAGAGACTCTACTTTGACTTTTAGACTCTACTTTGGGGCAGCAGGAAGGACTGGATGGTTCTTGAGGTTTCCTTTTTCCCTTTAAATGGTTTATAATCCTTCCAGACATCCCAATTTTGGCTTTTCTGTGCCAATGGCTCAATATCAGGGAGCCCCAGTGAGGTGACCCTGTCCTCATGCTGTGGACAAGCTCCAGGTAGCCCTCACCTGTGTTTTAGAGTTTCCAGCTTGTTTTTGTCCCTTCTGGACAGATATCCAGGCTGTGCCATGGAATTTGAGCTTCCTCTGCCTACTGGATGTTTGTAACAATCTGGGATTTCAAAAAAAAAAAAAACACCAAACCCCAGCCAAACAAAGAAGCCCAACCTGTAAAAAAGTTAAAGCTGGAGGTGCCCATTTTCTGACAGAGGGTTTGGTAACGGGGCAGGGAACAAAAATGTGAGGAATAATTGGTTTTGGGCCTAGAACCAGGAAAACTACTTTTCCAAATTAATCCAGCGAGAGCCATGAATCCACTGTATTTCATATCACACTTCATAAAACTCCAGTCATAATCCATAAAAGTGACATTATTAGATTAAAACCCTCAGTTCCTCCTAGAAGGAGCTCGCTCATTAGACATGCTGTAGTTTTATAACCTCAAAGTTCCTCCCCAATTACCATGATTAATACTGGGCTTTAATAAAAAATTTCTCCCAATCACCACAGGGGTTGATCCCATCTGGTTGGTGTAATTGGGAGTTTCAATATTGTCCAGCAAGGGAAGGACGCTCCGGGAACACAAATCAAGGCTGAGGATGGATGGGGATGGAGGTCTGGAGATCCAGCTGGCTTTTGGTGGTGGTTGGAGCATGGAAAAGTCCAGGTGATGTGAGCCAGAGGCTGGGATTGCTGGGGGAAGTGGGGATGAATTCTCCCTCCTCGTGCAGCTGATGAAGGATCAGGGAAGCTCCCCGTGCTCTTCCAGCAGGGATGTGCCCTGGGAAATCCATCCTAAACTGAACATCCCAACTGAAGCCAGCACACTTCTGCTCTGAGGGAGCAGCACGTGGAAGCTCCAGAGGAAAGGCAGGATTTGGGGAGAAATCTGTGCTGCCTGCTGAGGTATGGATGGCAGTGGATCCATAAATCCTGGCAGGTGCTGCTCCTGTGGGATCCTGGGAGACATCAGGTTCAGCTTCACCCTTGGTGCCACGGACATGTCCATCCCTCTGCTCTGCTCTGGGGACTCTCACCTGGAGCACTGCCACCAGCATGAGGATGTGGAGCTGCTGGAGCCAATCCAGAGGAGGCCACAGGGATGCTCTGAGGGCTGGAGCCCCTCTGGAGCCAGGCTGGGAGAGCTGGGGCTGCTCACCTGGAGAGGAGAAGGCTCCAGGGAGAGCTCAGAGCCCTGCGAGGGCATAAAGGGGCTCCAGGAGAGCTGGAGGGGGACTGGGGACAAGGCATGGAGGGACAGGACACAGGGAATGGCTTCACATGAACAGAGATCAGAGCTAGTGGGACATTGGGAAGGAATTGTTCCCTGGGAGGGTGGCGCAGATTCCCAGAGCAGCTGTGGCTGCCCCTGGATCCCTGGCAGTGCCCAAGGCCAGGCTGGACAGGGCTTGGAGCACCCTGGGACAGTGGGAGGTGTTGGCGGTGAACTGGAGGAGTTTAAGGTCTCTTCCCACCCAAACCATTCCATGATGATGATGATGATGATGATGAAATAACATAAAACTCACTCTCGATGGCCACGAAGCCGCTTGCTGGGACACCACCCTCAGCACGTTTGAAAATCCCGTTGTTTGGCTTTGCAGCAGGAATTCCTTTGAGGTTTGTCCTTGCAGATCCGATGGGTCCATGGTTCCATCCACCCCCGGGTGAGCAGGAGCTGGTGTGAGCTCCAAGCCTCAGCCAGAAGCAGTGAAATTAAAAATGTGTCGGCTCCGCAGTTCCACCCCGGCCCAGAGAACGCCAAACTCGTGTTATTTTTGAATCCCCTGATTTTTCAGGGCTGCTGGAAATAAGAGCTCCTGCTCCTGACTCCCAAGCAATAAAGGGAGGTGAATCACTCCTGAAAAAAGCCCTCCCGTGGACCACCCAGGGGCTCCTGCAGAGCTGGGAACCAGAAGTGGCAAAGCACAGAAGGATTTTCTTAACACAACTGCAACTGCACGAGGCAAAATCACCTCGGAACAGGAGCAGAGTGAGAGGTGTGATAATGAAGCCAGGCTGATTAATATGCATCGAGCTAAATCACATTCAGGTCACAGAGCAAGCCCCAAACCTCGACTGTAACATGTTCCCCTCCAGGACCCAACATGTGTCTGGAATTCAGATAGAAATCGTTTTTTTCCCCCCTCATAATTACCCAACTCAGCATAAAGTATTAGTTTTTTTAACTTAATAATAGTTAGGATTTTTGTTCCTTGCTGTGATTGGTCAGAGCTCTCCTTTTTTTAACAATCTCTGACTTTCTGAAGGGTCCTGCTGGGGTTTTAAAACTTGTAACTTGCAAATCACCATGTCAGAAACTGTGGTGCCAGTCATATAAAATATGAAATCACACGTTCTTAGCATTTATTTGTTGTCAGTTTTAATGAGAAAACATGGATTTTTTCCAACAGAACAGTGGCTGAAAGTCCTCAGGCTGAAACTGTCCCTGTGTTCTTGATGTTCATACTGTGGAGTGGTATTTTGGGAGACCACATGCAAGATATTCTCCTAAACAGCCAATAAAAGCTAAAATTAAAACAAAATAACGCCTCTTAAAATGCACGCTTCTATATTTAATGCTGCTCTTTAATTAGAAGTTCCAAGGTTTCCTCCTGAAGGGTTTCAGGAGCGTTGCTGTCACGGATCCCTTGGAATAAGCAGGAATTGGGTGATTCCTGTGGGAAATTAAGTCACTTTGGAAATGAAGGCACTTTGGAAATCAAGTCACTTTGGAAATCAAGGCACTGTGGAAATTGAGTCACCGTGGAAATCAAGTCACTGTGGAAATCAAGTCACTTTGGAAATCAAGTCACTATGGAAATCAAGTCACTGGAAATCAAGACACTGTGGAAATCGAGTCACTTTGGAAATCGAGTCACTGTGGAAATCAAGTCACTTTGGAAATGGAGTCACTCTCTGATCTCTCTTGCTGGAAGCACAGGCACAGGCAGAGCTCACGTGTGAACCAGAGCTGGTTCACATTTGGAATCTCTGGGCTGGGGCCTGGGCTCCAGGCAGGCTTTGCCATCCCGGAATGTCCTCGCTGGGATGCTCCAACCCCTCACCGCGCGTTTTGTTGGCATTTCGGGACATCCAACGCTCTCTGCCTCCTTGTTCCCCATGCAGGTGCTCCTGATCATAAGTGGGAACCTGAGTTTCCTGAACTGGCTGACCATGGTGCCCAGCCTGGCGTGCTTTGACGACGCCAGCCTGGGGCTCCTCTTCGGCTCGCGGCTGCGGGAGCGGGCGGCGCGGCTGCAGCTCCCGGCGGCGCGGGGACAGCGGCTTTCCCTGGGTGAGTTATCCCAGACAGGGGAAGGGTGGCATTTCGGTGTGCTTGGCCCCAAAGCTCTCACCTTCAAGGCAAAGCTCTGCTGCTCTGTGGGCAGAGACATCGTGGTGGTTGAGGGTCTGCGGGGACATTGCCACGGGGACATTGCCACGGGGACATTGTTTGTGGGACATGTCCTCTGCAGGATCAATGTCACAGCAAGTCCAGGCAGCTGCAGCTCTTAAGTCAATCCTTGCTCTGCCCCCAGTGACTCGAACTCAAAGTAAGAATGGGGAGTTGCATGATTTCACTTACTTTTTAAAAATTTTTTTTTATTAATTTTGACTGTTTAAAGTCAAGGATAAAACGCCCAGTGGGACTTGAGGTGAGGTTAGAAGCTGGGTTCTTACATTTGCTCTCTTCATTTGCTCTCCTTCAAGACGTGGTGAAGAGAAGGTTCCAGAGAGAACTTCGAGCCCTTCCCAGTTCCTAAAGTGACCTGGAGAGGGAGAACTGGAGAGGGACTTGGGACAAGGGATGGAGAGGCAGGACGCAGGGAATGGCTGCAAACTGACAGGGCTGGATGGGATATTGAGAAGGAATTCCTGCTGGGAGGGTGGGCAGGCCCTGGCACAGATTCCCAGTGAAGCTGGGGCTGCCCCTGGATCCCTGGAGGTGTCCAAAGCCAGGCTGGACAGGGTTTGGAGCAGCCTGGGCTGGTGGAAGGAGCAGCTGCTGGTGGCCACCTCTGGTAGCGAGGCCACCATCGTGGTGGGGAGAGAATTCCCCAAACCAGGGAGGAGGAGAACTCCTGCTCATCCCGTGGATGTGAAAAAACAAACACAGGGGGGGTTGTAACTGGAAAAAAGGGCTCGAGGTGGCTGATTCCCCCTTCCAGAGGCGCTTTCCAAGCTGCCCTGATCCAGGAGAAGCAGCGCTGGGATGTTTCTCATGAGGCTGCGGAACAGATGGAGAGTGGTGTGTGCAGCATTTTTATAAACCGCATATAAGCAACAAATTGCCTGTAATATCAACAACAATCACAGCTGCTGGGGTTAAATATCCCAAACATCTGTCAGAGGAAGGAAAAATGTCAACAAGAGGCAGCATCTGTCTCCAGTCTTTTCTACCAAGAAGCAGCTCATTAACCAAAAATGGGAGGTCCAGCCATGCAACTTTGTTAAGTTTTGCCTTTTATTTCACATATTTTGCTGGAATCAATCTTTATCAGCTTTTCCCCTCCTGGAGCTTTGCTTTGGAGGCTGTGAAAGTCTCAAACTTTTCCTCCCAACTACATTTATTCCTCCAATTCCAAACAACACTGAGGCTGCACCTTGTTTTTGGGAGGAGAAGCCAAAGGGAGTCACTGTGAGGGGGAGGCAGATCCTGTTTTGAGGAACTTGCACCTTTTCTGTGATGTTCTCCAGAAAGGCTGACTGAGCCAGGCTGTCCAAGCAAGGAGAATGCCCATCCCGCTTGGGGTGGAGCTGTGTCCCACCCTCAGGAGGGGTGGGGGTGTCTGTAACATCCCAGAAATTGGAATTCCTGTGTGTTTTCTCTGCTCAGGAAGCTGGGGCTGCTGAGCTGGTGCTGATGGGTGCCAAGAGGCTCAGAGGAGCCCTCAGTCCTCGGCCACCAGAGCAGAAGACAGGAGAGCCCCCAGCCATATTCTGATTTTCTGAGGCCAGTCCTTGAAGTGTTTGATTCCTTCTGAGGCCTCCACTTCCCATGCAGATCCCACTGGATCCTCTCCCCACATTTTGCTCCATCTGGATTATTTTTTCCTTGAATTAACCCCTTTTTCTCTCTGATGGAGTGGCTGTGACCCCAAGGGCAGGGAGACCGGAGAAGAAACGCTCCTGCTGAAGGATGAGCAGTCCCTGCATGGCCGTGGCCTGCTGAGGAGCCAGGGGAGGCTCTGTGCCTGTACCTGCTCTTGAATTACAGGGGAAGAAGTTCAGCCCATCTCAAAAAACCCCCAAAAATGCCCCAAAGGCTCGTACCCAGGGGGTGAGGAAAGGCCCGATTCAAACGGTTCTCCAGAAATGTTCTCAGACTAAACAATTATTAATAGCTTCTGAGAGAGGTTCAAATAAACATCCCTCTCCTGCAGAGATAAGGGGAAAGCTCCACGCAATTGCTTTGAATCTGATCCTTTGGCTGTTAATGTTAAATAAATTGAAAAGGGCCATGAGGGAAGGAGCCCCTGGGGGGTCACCTCTGCTTATTTGTCTGATGGTGGCCTGGGATGCAGCCCAGCCCCGTGCTGCTCCTGCAAACCCCATCCCAGAGCGCTGGCACAGCAACACACATCTCCTCCAGGAGCGCTGGGGAACTGGGATTTTGCAGGAGGAAAAGCCCTGAGGAAGGGGAGAGCTCGGGGCAGCAGGAGGAGGCAGGAGCGGCCCCGGCCTCCAGCACGGCTCCCAAAGCTGGAGGAGCTGATCCCGAGCAAGGTGCAAGTGCCAGCTGTGGTTTTTCCCCTGTATTAAAGGCATGATTGATGTCACATTTTAGACATTTTTCCTTTTAGCCCTTGCTCAGACTATTTAGAGAAAGGCAGATCCCAGCGGCGATAGCGGCCTGTGGCAAGGCCGGGGTGGCCACGGTGGGGCCGGCACGGGGGGCCTATGTATATAAATATAAATATCACTATAATATAAATATAATCATAAATATAAATATATTTTGGAGAAGGTGAAGCAGTTTGGCTGTTAAAGGTCTGGCTTCCTCAGTGAAGGGGAGGTATGAGTCCCACCACAAACACTGGAGATGCTGAGGACATATCAAATGAATATAATTTTTCCTCAGTTTTTCAAATAGCAGAAATTTCTGTGGACAGAAAAAAACTAGAAAAATACTAAAAACATCAACACTTGAGGAAAATGCCAAAATTTCCTCTTTTTTTTTTTTTTTTTTTTGAGAGAGAGAGAGAAATAAGCCCTGAACTTCTTTGAAGGCTGGAGTGGTGAAGCTCCAGGAGATTGTTTTCTTTGGGTTGTTGTCCTTTTTCTTCTCCAGCCTTTGGTTTCCATTTCAGCAGTTACCAGACCCTACAGAGCATGTGCTGAAATGCTGCTGTAATATGTTGGTAATTCCAGCCTATGTAAACCAATAAAAAGAGGATTGCAGCTTATAATGAACCTGGGATGATGTGAAAGCTGACAGGTTTGGGATCACACAGTAGGAGCAGCCTTTTATTGGTAATTTGGTGTCCCTGATTTACAGGGTGTTCCTGAGCCTTGGGCAGCTGGCCACAGCTCAGAGCTGAGCCCAGGGGATAAAATGGAACTTGGCTGGAGAATGCACAGATCTCCTCAATGGAGGCAACAATTATAAGAGGAGATGCTCAGCATTCCTTAGGTTGGGAGCATCTCTCCCTGGGAGCCATCGGGGCAGAAGGTGGAGGTTGTGTGTTTCCCAAATTTTCAGTTTCTTGGGCTGGAGGAGGCAAAATCCAAGTAGAAGAAAATCCAAAGGGTGTTGTAGCTGCAGAGCTTTGCCAGGCAGGTTTCTGTAGCTCTGTGCTCAGTATGGAAAGCAGCTCCTGGGGCAGGTGGGTGTCTCTGGCAGCTCAGCCAGGACTCCAGGGTGGTGTTTCCATGGCCTGGAGTTGGCCATTCCCACTTCTCCATGATGGGATTGCAGCTGAGCCACGTGGGAGTACTCATGAGCAGCTCTGATCCACAGCCCCACCTGTCCTTTAGGAATCATCTTTATGGATCCCAGCTGGCCCTTGGGCTGCTACAGCTGCCGGAGGTGAAAGGAAGAGCTTGGAATTTCACTTTGCTGCTGGAGAGAGAGAGGTGCCAGGATCCAGAGGTTCTCTGGATGCCAGGATCCAACTGTGCCTCCAGGCCAGTGACTTGTGGGCTCTCAAGAACCAGAGCTTTTAGCTGAGATATGGGGAGAAATCCTTCTCCTTCCTTCCTGGCACAGATTCCCAGAGCAGCTGGGGCTGCCCCTGGATCCCTGGCAGTGCCCATGGCCAGGCTGGACAGGGCTTGGAGCACCCTGGGGCAGGGGAAGGTGTTGGGGTTGGACCTGGATGGGCTTTTCCCACCCAAACCTTTCTGTGGTTTTATGGTTTTCCACGATTTGAGCCAAATAACAACATCCTGCTGTACCCCACAGCATCACCAAGGAGAGGACAGAAGTCATCCTTCAGGGAACATCCAGCCTGGATCCCAATGACCCCACAGCAGTCTGGGAGGAGTTTGAGTTCAAGTGCAAGCCCGGGGACTTGAGGAGGAGGCCGTGCCTCATCTCCCCCTACCACTATCGCCTCGACTGGCTCATGTGGTTTGCTGCCTTCCAGGTAGGTGCCTCTGAAAGCCTGGGCCTTCCTTGACCAGGAAAAACCAATTACATGGATTTACTACGTGTTGGGATCACAGGGGAGTGCTGGAAGCAGTGGCTGAGTTAATTATGTTTAAAAAAAAAAAAAGCAAGAACAAAGGTTGTGTTCCTAAAGGACTGTGCTACTGTAATGAAACTCTTGGCAATTTTATGTGAGGTTTTTTTTAAGGGTTTCTTAGCAATACCAAGAATCCCTGTTGGGGACAGCCCTGGGGACAGCAGCTCCCCATTCCCCACCTGCCCACACATGGACATTGGTCCCTCCAAATATTTTCCTCATGTGATATCAGCAAACAGGTGACAGCCAGAAATTAAATAAGGGGGGGGAAGTTGAAGGTTAATTCTTGTTTAGCTTATTTTGCAAATCTTACCCATGTGACATGGGCTGGGTTTTCCAAAACTGACTGACAGCAGTGGCAGGAGGAAAAACCATGTCAGAGTACCCCAGGCTTTTCTCTTTGTCCCTGCATCCTCTCCTGGAATATCTTCTTCCCCCTGCCACAAGCTCCTGGGTTTGCTGTCCCTGTGGTATTTTCATTTCAGAGCCTTTGGGATTCCTGGGCCCTGACATCAGGCCATGGTTTGATATTTACCCTGCTGGTTTGTGTGTGCTGGAATTTCATTTAATCTGCATTAGGGCTGCTTATCCCTCAGGAAAATCACAGCCAAGGTCCAAACTGCAGCCAGGAGCAGGGCCTGGAATTAGGGAAAGGTGCAGGGGGTGGATGGAGCTGGGGGTTGAAGTCAGGCTGTGCTTTGGGAGGGCTCTGAGTGGGGAGAAATCAGCTGCCCCAGGCCCAGGTTGTGTCTGAGGCGTGAAAAAGGCTCTGCCAAGGGCAGAAATGTCCTGAAGGTTTCAAATAAAAGAGATCTGAGGTTTAAAGCTGAAGGATGAGACACAGGTGCTGCTGTGCCGAGGGGTGCTGGTGTACCTGGGAGGAGGAAGAGGAAATAACCCAGCCTCTTTGCATCCTTACGGCGTGAAAAAGGCTCTGCCAAGGGCAGAAATGTCCTGAAGGTTTCAAATAAAAGAGATCTGAGGTTTAAAGCTGAAGGATGAGACACAGGTGCTGCTGTGCCGAGGGGTGCTGGTGTACCTGGGAGGAGGAAGAGGAAATAACCCAGCCTCTTTGCATCCTTACTGTTTAATTCAATATTATTAGTGTTTAATTCATTATTATTAGTGTTTAATTCAATATTATTAGTGTTTAATTCATTATTTGTAGTGTTTAATTCATTATTATTACTGTGTCATTCACTATGATCAGTGTTTATTATTATTAGTGTTTAATCCATTTTTTTTTAGTGTTTAATTCACTGAAATCTTCCCCCAAAGTGTTCCCATTGGAACACTTGGGAGTGTTGGTCTCTCTCGAGGTGTGTCCACAGCAGCTAATTAGCAGCAATTAGTGTTGAAGGTCTCTTTGCTCTGGCTGGAAAGTGGGAATGGAGATAACTGTTGTGGAAAGCAGTGGGAATGGGGGTAACTTGTGGAAAACAGTAGGGAATGGGGGTAACTGTTGTGGAGAACAGTGGAATTGGTGTATCTCTTGTGGAAAACAGTGGGAATGGGGGTAACTTGTGGAAAACAGTAGGGAATGGGGGTAACTGTTGTGGAGAACAGTGGGAAATGGGGGTAACTTGTGGAGAGAACAGTGGAATGGGGGTAACTGTTGTGGAGAACAGTGGAATGGGGGTAACTGCTGTGGAGAACAGTGGGAAATGGGGGTAACTTGTGGAAAACAGTAGGGAATGGGGGTAACTGTTGTGGAGAACAGTGGAATGGGGGTAACTCTTGTGGAAAACAGTGGGAAGGAGAGCTGCCCGGGCAGGGCAATGAGCTGGGATGCTCAGGCATGTAAATACCTGCTTAAGCATGGAAGCAAATCCCGTTTGGAATGGCCACTGCTCGGCTGGAGCACTGAGAGCTGCGGATCTGCTGCCAGCTGCCTCCCTGGGCTGCCACAGAAATCCCTGGCTGTTCTTTGGACCTTGAGTCCTCCAGAGCAGCAGAAAGGAGGAGAAGCAGGAGCTGAAAGCCCAGGAGGAGCTCGTGAAGCCAGAGGAGTTGTGCAAAACCCGTGTGGGAGTTCACAGAGTCCATAAAGGAGCGAGTTCAGCCTCTGGATTAGATTTAATTTGTTTCCAGAAGTTCTGGGATGTTTCTCTGGCACCACTCTCCCGTTCCCCCAGGGCTGTCTGCACCTCCCTGGCAGTGGCCAGGGACAGGGCTGACATTCCCAGCTCCGACAGGCTGTGGAAAAGCCCCGGGCTTCAGGGAAGGATATTTCCCATCCCTTGTGCTGCTCCTGACAGGCTCCTCTTTGCACCTCATCAGCCCCTGACAAACGACCCCGGGATCCCCCAGGAACTTCCCAGCCTGGATTGGCTCCAGGATTCACTGGGAAGTTGCCTCCAAGCTGGCCTTGGGCACTGTCAGAGATCAGCCACAGCTCCTCTGGGCACGCTGTGCCAGCACCTCCCCACCCTCAGATAAGGCTGAAATGGTAGAATATGATTTAATCCCACAAAAATTGAGGTTGAGCATTAGGAATAACTTTTTTCCCCTTGACACTTCCATGTGTTAGTGCACAAACATGCTGGTTTATTGTTAAAGGCTTATCTGTGCTGCAGCTACTGATGCCAAGCCTCCTGTAATTATTTGACTTCTGGTTTATGGTGGAATTTCAGGAATAGCCCAAAACTGAGCTGGGCTGGCACAAAAATCATTCCAATTCCTTGGTTCAGCATTGCTGATCAATAACAACCAGAAAACCAGATACTGCTCGTACTTTTGGGGCTTTGAGCTGGTCAGTTCTGCTGCTGCTGGGCTGTCGTGGATTCCACAGAAGTTGGATGTTTATTGCCCCAAAGGGTTGTTGTCCACCAGTGGAAAAGGAAAAATCCAAGGGAAAGGCTTTTCCCTTCCTTATTGTGGCCTGAAGGGTATTTATTCTGTTTGGGGGCTGCATGGCCAACACAAGGCACCCTCTTGGTGCTTATCAAAGAAAAACTGCTCCAAAATAACAAAATACTGCTGTCCTCAGACTGCATTTAAAGCCCAGTGTTTGTTGGATCGTTCCTTGAAGCCGCTCCAAAAGTCTGTGGATGTAAAACCTGATGTGGAGCAGAGCTTGGGGTGCTCTGGGATGCAATGTGTGTTTTCCAGAGAGGAGGATATTTATAAAAAAACCTTCAGCTGCTTTCCTAAGAGCAGAGAGAGCCTCCAGCAGCAGGGCTGGTGCTCTGGGTGGTAACAGAATGTAGCCATGATAATTTCTGAAAAATCCTTTTGCCAGGATTTTCTACTGAAGAGCTCAAAAGAAATATAAACAATTAACTATCTGCTGCTGTAGAATGCAACAGGTGCATGTGTAATTAGTCCATGTTAGTTGTTTCTAATTAATGGCCAATCACAGTCAGCTGGCTCAGACTCACTGGGAGTCAGGAGCTTTAGTTGTCATTCCTCTCCTGTCCTTTCCAGCCTTCTGATGGATCCTTTTATTTCTGTTTCTTTTAGTATAGTTTTAGTATAGCATTTTAATATAATATATATCATAGTATAATAAATCAGCCTTCTGAAATGTGGAGTCAAGGTTCATCCTCTCTTCCCTCGTCCTGGCACCCTCAAGCACAACCATAACAGAGAGTGGTGGAAACTTCAGGTTATGCATGAGCTGGAAGAGCTGAGGAAAAGGAACCCCATTTCTGGAGAAGGCAGGTTCATATTCTTGTCAGATATTTCATTTGAGCCTCCTGTTATCTCAGCCTTGCAGCCAGAAGGTGCTCAGAGGGAAAATCTGCCCGGGGGAGGAGTGTGGGTGTCACAGCAACCCTCAGTGCTCCCTGCACCCAGCTCAGCCTGCTCCATTTCCTTCCTTCCCCCTCTCCACACACGGGCTCAGCTCATTCCCCTGCAGCATTCTGCTCCCTGTGCACAGGGAAGTTTTGTTTCCTCCTTTTCCCTGGGATCATTTTTTTGTCATTGTCTCCCTGTGGCCATGCAGAATTCCAGGCAGCCTCGCCTCCTGCAGCAGCAGTGCCAGGGATGCCAAAGCAGATATCCTGTCGTGCCCTGGATAAATCCAGAGGGAGACCTTGGCTTGGGGAGGGGTTCCTGCCCGGTGGCCACTGCCAGACCCCACCCTGGAACAAAGGGACTTTTCATCCCCAAGCCAGAGGGGACACAGGGGCCGTGCCAGGTGTGGCCTTTCCCTGCATAGGTGGGATCCAGGAGCTGATTCCCAAAGTCTTGCTCTGCTCTCTCATGCAGCCTTTTATTCCTGCCTCCTTCAGGGAGCAGCTGCTTTCCCAAGGATTTGCTGATGGGATGGATTGAGGGGTGGCTTTTAGTGAGTAATGCACATTGGGCTGGAGACATGGCTTTGGGAAACTCACAGGAAAAAGGGATGAAATTAGGAAAAAAATCTTCCTTGTGAGACTGGGGAGGGGCTGGGATGGAATTCCCAGAGCAGCTGTGGCTGCCCCTGAGTCTCTGGCCGTGTCCTAGGCCAGGCTGGATGGGCTGGGAGCAGCCTGGGACAGTGGGAGGTGTCCCTGCCATGGCAGGGGTGGCACTGGATGGGTTTTAGGGTCCCTCCAACCCAAACCATTCCAGGATTCCATGGTGTTATTGGAGATAATGACATGGCCCTTCCTTGGACAGCAGGATGGTAACAAGTGGTGGTGAGCTGGAATTCCATAAAACAACAAGGGGTGCCATTACCTGTGGCCTCCTTTCTGACAGAGATTGTTCCTCCTGACAGCTCACACTCCCTGAACAGCAACGCTGGAGGTGCTGAACTGCAGCAGGGTGGGTATGGGGTGAGAGTGCCCAGAATTCCATGGTAGAATTCCCGTGTTGCAGCCACAGTGGCTCAGCTGTGACACAAAACCAGCCCCTCACAGCATAGCAGGGGAAATGGAACCTGCCCTGCCCCTCTGGCAGCCACTGACTCCGACCTGAAACCACTCAGGGCTCCCAAGCACGTGAAATAATAACCCTGGGCTGCCGTGCCAAGTTTCCAGCTGTTCCCACATGTGCATCCCATCCTGACCTCCTCCTGTGCCCGTGCCAGCCCCGAGATTCCATAAAACACCACGCTAATCCCCAGCCCTTTTTCATTAAATGACCAATTAAAGCTCAAGGAAAAGCCTCCTTATTATTATTATTTCAGTTGGGAACATGTTCCCTGTAGCGCCGGGGGGTTTTTGGGGGTTTTTTTTTGGGATGATAACGTTCCCTTGGCTTTGTTATCAGCAGGGTTTGGTTGCTACTGTGGCTGCTTTGCTCTGGCTGCTCGCTGGTGCCTGCCTTAGCAGAGCTGTGGGTTTCAGTCCTGTAGAGTTATTAAATCCTCCTGGACACGAGTGAATGTGTTCAAGGTGAGAACACCGTGGTTATTCCCTGGGAAGGTGTCGGAGTGGGGAGGTCAGGGATGCCAGCAGCTGCAGGGGAGTCCCAGGGCAGTGCTGCTCAGCTCCTCACGTGTGGCTGGGGGAAGGAGCAAACCCCCTTCCCAAAAAGGCATTTGGGGTGAGACTGGCATGGAGAGAGGGGGAAAGTGTCTGCCTGAGCTCTGCACGAGGCTGAAACCCATCAGGAATTCAAAGCTTAGCAAAAAAAGTGCCCCAAGTTCTTTGTTGGTCCCCTCTGCTGTACCTGAAATAGGAGTTTGGGAGGTTCTGGGTGCTGGGGGAACAGCTGAGGATGATGTGGCTGGAGAGCTGCCCCTCACATTTCCATGGATCTGCACGGGGTGTCCTTGGGGTGAACCTGCCTTCTCCAGAAGTGGGGTTCCTTTTCCTCAGCTCTTCCAGCTCATGCATAACCTGAAGTTTCCATCACTCTCTGTTACCACCCAGAGCACCAGCCCTGCTGCTGGAGGCTCTCTCTGCTCTTAGGAAAGCAGCTGAAGGTTTTTTTATAAATATCCTCCTCTCTGGAAAACACACATTGCATCCCAGAGCACCCCAAGCTCTGCTCCACATCAGGTTTTACATCCACAGACTTTTGGAGCGGCTTCAAGGAACGATCCAACAAACACTGGGCTTTAAATGCAGTCTGAGGACAGCAGTATTTTGTTATTTTGGAGCAGTTTTTCTTTGATAAGCACCAAGAGGGTGCCTTGTGTTGGCCATGCATGAACACGGGCTTTGGCTTCAGGGCTGGGTAACTGTGGGACCCCTCAGCTCTGCTGTGCTGGGTTGGCTGTGGGGTTTTTGTGTGTGTTCAGGTCCCTGAATTGCTTTCTGTGCTAGAACAGAATGAGAACTCTCCAGAGATGAGAAGGGAAGTGTGTTCCTCCCCTGGGGGCTGCACTGGGCAGGCTCAGACAGGGATGGGGCTCCCTGCAGTGCAGTGCAGTCACTGCTCCCCAGTAACCCCAGCATGGATGCAGCCCAGGCTCTGTGTGGCCCCAGGGAGGGCAGGAGCAGCAAGGGCGTTGTGATCCATGTCTGGATGGAGATGGAGATGATGGAGATGGAGCAGCCCAGGGATCCATCACTGTGCAGGATCACTCCCAGCTGCTTCTCGTGCTCATTGAAGATCCAAACCCCACAACTGACCCCAAAACAGGCCAGCCCATCTCCCAGCAATCTATCCTGGATTATTTTTTCTCCTGTAATTAATGCCCCGGGTGGTTCAGGCTCTGTGCTGCACACTCGGATCCCGCTGGATCCACGGACAGAGGAGCCCCTTGGAGTGACTCTTCCCTGGGTGCAGCCCGGATCTCCCGGACTCTTTTCCCTGCCTTTTCCAGGGTATCACTTTCCAGAGTAATGAGTTAAGCAGGGTCGTTAGCACAGCCCGGGGAGGGGGGCGGGGGCTGCACCGCCTGGAAATTTCTCACCGCAGACTTCACTGGGGCCAGACATGTTGTAAATTTTACAAGAAAAACACTTTACAGACCAGAAGTCCAACTCTGGTGAGCACAGAGCTGCTAATTAACAATTTGGAGACCACGGGAGCCGATCCCACCTCCCTGGAGCCTCCTGGTTCTCAGTCAGGCTTGCAAGGTCTGGGGGCCTCCTCGAGCTCCAGCTTGGGGTTTCTGGTGGTTCCTGTTTCCATCCTCCTGCTGCTTCCCAGCTTGCACCCAGGAGCTCCCGAATCTCCCAGGCTCTCCTGGAAATGATGTTCAACATCATCCCAAGCACTGGGATGTCCAGGGAGACCCAGGATGCTGAAGGTGTCACTTGTGGTGTTTGATCCCTGCTGTGGCAGCTTTTGGGAGCTCCTCTGTGCCAGCCAGGGATTCCCAGGGTGGCACCACCTTCCCAAATCCCATCCCAGAGCTGCTGAGGGACACGGAGACTGGGAGTGAGTGACCCTTGGGGACACGGGCAGGGACGGGGACGGTGCCAGCTCTCCCTGGGACGTGGGTGAGGTTGGTGTGGCACACCCCACACCATGCCAGGCTCCTGCTTCCAGGGCTCACCGTGTCCCCTGTTGTGTCAGGACCACCACGGCCTCAGTCCCACTGTGGCCTCTGTCCCCTGTCCCTCCCTGAGAACCCAGGAGGTGGCACTGGGGGTTGGTGGAGGGAGCATCCCTGTCTCCATCGTCCATCCCTGATGGATGAGAGCAGATGGAAGGAGCAGGAGGGGGAGAGTCATCCTTTTGAGAAGCTTTTTTGGCTGAAATAACTGTGGTTTTCCTCTAAATCCTGATGAGCTGGGGTCAGAAACCCTGCGAGGTAGAGCTGCCCCGATGGGCCTTGGTGTTTTCCATGGTTTCTCTCCCGTTTCCCTTGGAGACAGGAATAACAAAGCGGGCCGTGAGGGGAGCTCTGGCAGCAGCTTTACCTCGGGGCTGAGCTGTGCTGAGAGCCCTGCAGGTACAGCTCCCGGCTTTCCCTTTCCCACAGTGTCCCCTACTGCTTGCACTCCAAAATCCACCCAGGAACTCGTGCAAAAAGCAGGAAAAGGAGAAATCTCAGAAAGTCACCGCGGGGAAATGCTTTTGGGGAGGTGGAAGAAGAGCAAGATTCCTGCAGGGAGGAAAATTAGAGAATTGGGGAATGTCTCGAGCTGGAAGGAATCCATAAGGATCATCCAGGCCAAATCTCTGCTTCCTCAGAATTAACTGAATTCAAACTCTGCCACTGCTCCAGAAGGGGTTCCATGAGGAAGGATGGATCACACAGCAGGAAATAAAGAGGAGACAGGAATTGGGAAGAAAGAAGCCACTTCCTTCTGTTTTCCTTTGGATAACACAAGGGAACCAACCCAAAGCCCTTTCCCAGGAGAAAGCAATCTGGATTAAAAGGATGGATGGGTTATCCCTGGAAAATGTGCTGTTATGGTTCCCCTGTGGGGTTTGCTGCTAAATCAATTCTTTAAATCAGGTATTTGGGGGCAGAATTAGCAGATGAGATGACACAAACCCAGGGAAGCTCTCCCAGCTCCCTGAGGGTGCCAGTCTCTGTCTGGACCTCAAGGATCCCATGGGACATGTGCTGAAACACTGGGAAATTCACCATTTTCCACCCAAATCCGCTGATATCCCTCCCCAAGGCCAGGAATCTTTAATCCCAGTAATATTCCAGAAAAATCCCAGCAGTTCCTAACGTTTCCATTTCTCCTTCCTCCCCCCAGACCTACGAGCAGAACGAATGGATCATCCACCTGGCTGGGAAGCTGCTGGCCCAGGAGGAGGAGACCTTGTCCCTGCTGGCCACAAACCCCTTTGCAGGCAGAGACCCTCCAAGGTGAGCCTGGAGTTATCCCAAGGGAGCTGGAAGCTCCACCTTGTTCCCATCCTGGACATGCACAGGAGGTTCCTCTTGGGGTTTGTGTTTGGTGGCATTTGGGGTGGGATTTAGGGTGGCTTTGATGGACACCACAGTGCTGCCAGCACCTCAATTCCCCCCTGGAGGGGCCACAGGGACCCTTGGGATGAGCCCATTCCCAGCAGATCCAGGAAGGGCTCGGTGCTGCTGCTCCTGGCCAGGAATGCTCCCTCCTGCTGTGCTGTCCTGCCCCTCGGCTCCGGGGCTTTTGCCACGTTCTCTTTGTGAGCTCAGCTCAAACCCCACCATTTCCACGGACCTCCTGAGGTGTTTCAAAGACAAAACAGCCCTGCAGGAATTATTGAGTTTCTGGACACTCATCTTGGAATTGTTTGTGTTTTCAAGGAAGAGACAAAGCCAACATCAGCCAGGGAAAGGCACAGAGGAAAACTCCGAGGTTTTACACAAAAGGAATTTTGTCCCCAAAGCGTCTGTTTTGTTGATGGAGTTATTTTTAGCTGAGAAAACATTTTTTGGGGCGTTTTGGATCAAGTCAAGTCATGTTATGCTGCTGCTAATGTTTTCCATTTGAGGCTCTGAGGATGCACTGCAAACAGGGATGCAGGTCCAGGAATGAAATTCCCCTTGGATCCCACTGATGTTTTCCAGCTTTAGGGCACTGCATCCCCTAAACCCTCTGAGGAGAGAGACTCCTTGTCCAGCTGAGGCACAGGAAACTTCCCACTTTTACCAAAATGGTTCTTCTGAGGTGCTTTGTAAACCCCAATATGTTAAAAATCCCCAAATCCTGCAATGGTTTGTGTTGGGAAGGAGCTTAAAGCTCATCCAGTTCCAACCCCAGCATCTTCCACCATCCCAGGCTGCTCCAATTTCCATCCAGCCTGGCCTTGGGCACTGCCAGGGATCCAGGGGCAGCCACAGCTGCTCTGGGCACCTGTGCCAGGGCCTGCCCACCCTGCCAGGGAGGAATTCCTTCCCAATATCCCATAACCCTGCCCTCTGTGGCCTGGCGCCCTTGGCAGGGGATGGAACTGGATGATTTTTAACCTCCCTTCCATCCCTGACCCTGTAATTCCCTGATCCTGGACTTTTATCCAGATTGAGGGGAAAGTTTGCTGCCAACCTTAGGGATCCCTTCATTCCCACCACAGTAGCTGGGTGGAAAAAAAACTCCTAATTTTCCTACCATTATTCCCCCCTCCCTCCACTCCAAAGGGAATTTTGAGACTTAATTATTTTCATTCCCTGCTAGACTAAATAATTAGGGGAAGGAGCTGTTTTCCATAAGAACCTTGCACTCCATCCTCCACAGAGTTTGTTCTGTTAATGGAAACTCTACACCTTAAATAGCCAAGGGACTTTCAGAATGAGTTAATGCCTTCGAAATGAAATTTCGGAGACCAAAGTTTGGAGGGTTCTTTACAACTCAAGAAATTATAGTATTTTTTTCAAGTGTGATAAACTTCAAATGAGAAACAGGTGACTGATTAAAAATGAGGGCATTGTTGAGGGCCTGGCTGAGTGGGAAGCTTGGACCTCGAGGCTGGTGATGTTTGGGGAATGTGGATTTCCCAAATATTCTGGGGCAGTGGATAGTTCATAAAAGCCCAGCCCTCATAAATCTGAACAGGGGGACTTGGGCTGAGAAATTAAGAAGTGTTGAACACACCGTGGAAAAGGCTGCAACAATCAAAGGAAACAAAAATCGGATTTAGCCCACAGGAGGGGAAAAAAAAACAAACAGATTTTTGGGTCTGTTTGGTGTCTCTGATGTTAAATCATGGTCACTTCAGGATTTTTATTCCAATTAAAGTAGCAGTTTGTTGGAAAAGCCCCACCATGGGTGTGAAGAGCTGAGTTTGGAGTGGTGGTGTTTGTGAGGGAGCTGGTGCCTCCCTTTGGATGCTTTGGAACACGAGGGAATGGGGCATCTGGGATCCTTTTTATGGGATTTTGTTTTATTTCCCATTTAAAAGTGATTGGACTTGATACCTGGGCTGGGATCTGTGCAAGCCATGGGAAGAGCTTGGTCATATTTGCACTTTGTAGAAGCCAATTTGGAGTTTGGACCCTCCCCAGAGGGACAAGGGTGACTCTGGAGCAGTGCTGAGAGCAGGCAGGGAGTGGGAATTCCTGGAAAATCCAGGCCTCACTGGGATTAAGTGGAAAAGAATCTCTCAGCTATTACCAGAATTAAATTCCACGGTCCTGAAGGGAAGTTTAAGGGGTTTTCTTTGGGGGAAAAACCCCTCAGTATTTCAGGGAAGACAGAACTCATCCCAAGCTGGCAGGATTTCCCCCAGGCTGGGAAGTCTGGTGGCCATGGGATCTCTCTTCCTTGGCAGGGTGAATTCCAGCCTTGGATCCATCTGGAGCCAGGTTGTTTATTTTTCCCCCCACAGTTTTCTCTGCCCTTGGTGTTGTCCCACCCTTCCTAACCCACACAGAGAGGAAAAACCCCACTGTGCCACTTCCCAAAGGGATTTTGTGGATCAGCTGCCCCTGGGATGCTCCACCTCTGTGGGACCACACCTTGCAGGAACCTCAGAATCAGCAGCACTAAAAAACAACCCCAAAACTGCCCTGCTTCCCTCAGTTTAGGCCAAGATGAATTAATTTATGCTCCCTCCCACCAACAGGGCAAGAACAGCGATGCTGGAGCAATGTTACCTTGATGAATTTGGCCTTCCCACCACCTGATTTACAACAGAGCAGGGAACCTCGAGATAAAACACCCCAAAAAAAACCTCAAAAAAACACCCCACATTTTGCTTTCTTTCTTCCTTTCCCTCTCCCACCCCTCCTTGCCTTGGCAGGCCATTAATTCTAACAAAAACCACCACTGGGTTTGTTGGTTTTTTTTTCCCTGGAACCCCTCAGCTGTTGCAGGGAGACAGCTGCACCCTCTGGAACTAATTACAGCTGTCTGGGAGATTTAGGCCCCCATCCCAACAACTCCACTATTGCTGCTAATTTTTAACACATCCAGTTGGGAGATGGCAGGAGGGGCCGAGCCACGAGCGGCTCCCGAGGGCGCTGCGGGGCAGCTGCTGCCGGGCATCTGCTGGGGGGAAAACGCTGCTTTCAAAAATAATGCTGATTATTTTTAGCTTTTCTGGCCTCTCCCCGAGGCCGGGGCCTTGCCCAGCCCGCTGGGGATGCCCTGAAGGGTGGTGGCAGAAGGGTTCTTGGGGTGGCTCAGTTGTGCCCCCTCCGTCGGTGTTGTCGCTCTTCTGGCGCCGCTGTTGGAGCAGAAGTTGCCCAAAGGACCCTTTTGTCCCCTTTTTCTCACAGCAGAGATTGTTTTCCACCTCCTGGGAAAGTCCTTGGAATGCCATCCAGTCTCACCCGTGCCATGGGCAGGGATATCCTCCACCAGACCCCATCCAAGCTGGCCTTGGACACTTCCAGGATGGAGCAGCAACAGCTTCCCTGGGAATCTGTGCCAGGGCCTTCCCACCCTCCCAGGGAGGAATTCCTGTATCCCAATATCCCATCAAATCCTTCAGTTTAAACCCATTTTTAATGGGAGCAGGTGCCAGGGATCCAGGAGGAGCTGCCAGTTTGTGTTTGCTCAGTAAATCCCCACAAGTCCTTCTCGTCCTTCTCTGAGTACCTGGGACATCCTGGTGAGGTCAGGCAGCTCCTTCCTGACCTTCCAGAGGCTGTTGCTGTTTCTCCAGAGCAGGAATCAGGGAATCTCCTGCAGACTCAGTCTCCAAGATCCTGTGGATCCCTTCCAGCTGCCAGGAGATCTTTGTGGAAGCCCCAAAACTGCACAAACTCTGGGAGCCCTGGAAGGATGGGAGTTTGTAGCACCTTCCCTCCCTGAATCCTGGGAAGAGGGAGCAGCACCAGCACTGGAGGAGCTGGAAAACCCCATAATTCCAGGACTGAGGCACCCAGGCAGGTTATAAACACTGGCAGAGCTTGTAAACTCTGTGAGCCCTGAAATGAGGGGCTCCAGTGGGTATTAAACACTGCAGCTTTTACATCCTGAGCCTGGCAAGGAAATATTCCCTCCTGAGTTCCAGGTTTTCCACCTTTCTCCATCTATTTTAGGAATATATGGAGATGAATCCAGCTTGGGAAGTGCTCTGCAGCCACTTAGTGAAGGAAAAAGCATCAGAGTGGCAGGTGGAGGATGCTGGGAGCAGGAGACTGCCATAAAATCAGCCTCTGAAGCATTTTTAGGAGGTGGATCTGGGATTGGAGATGTTTTGGGAATTCCAGAAAGCAGTCAGGCAGCAACTGGAAATCTCCAATCATCCTGGAGTGGCTACCTGGACCCTCAGGGATGAGGCTGTTCAGGAACACTCAGTTATTAACAGGAATTTTGTGCTCCTGCAAAGGAAACCCTGTGGGAATAACACTCCAGCCCCTGTTTGGCTTTTCCCAGCCTCAGAAAGCAGGGAAAAGAGGGAGGGCAGGAATAGGCCAGGTTGGAATGAAGGCAGCAGCTGCAGGGCAGAGTTTGTGGGGGTGAGATGCAGGTTTATGCTCCCCAAATTCCACTCAGGGCCCCTTTTCCCATTTATCTTTCTTTAACCTCAGAGGAGGGGGGGAAATGGAGGCCATTGAGTCATGGAGTGGTTTGGGATGGAAGGGACCTTAAATCCCACCCAGTGCCACCCCTGCCATGGCAGGGACACATTCCACTGTGCCAGGCTGCTCCAAGCTCTGTCCAGCCTGGCCTTGGGCACTGCCAGGGATCCAGGGGCAGCCACAGCTGCTCTGGGCATGATGGGTGTGATGGACACAGAATCCCAGGATCTCTGAGGCTGGAAAAGGCCTTTAAGTGCAGCAAGTCCCACCTGTGCCCAATGCCCACCTTGTCCCCAGCCCAGAGCTCTGAGTGCCACCTCCACGAGTTCCTTGGACACCCCCAGGGATGGGGACTCCAAATCCCCCATGGCATCTCATATTCCTATGGTTTTGTAGGAGAATCCTTCCTGTGCTGCTCTCCTGGGTCCCAGCAGGACTGGAGCAGGGCTGTTGGGCTGTGCTGGAGCCACCCTTGGACTGGGTGCAGCTTTCTCCAAGCCCCTCACTCTGCCCCGCTCCCCAAAGCCGAGCGCTGATGGCAAATCCATCGGAGCCGTCCCTAATTATTTCAGCAGCAGGAAGGACCTTCCCGCCGCTCCAGGGATCCCCCAGCTGCGGTGCCCTGCTCAGTAGCAGGGTCTGTATTTTCCTAGTGGAGCAGAGCAGGTTTAAATGAGCACTGACACGACTTTGACAGTTTTATTTTGTGGGTATTTTATGGACTCGCCCGGCGATGCTCCCGGCGCGGGCGCCGCTCCGGCCCTTGTCAGCATGTCCTACATCAAGGGGGACAAACCCCCCGGATCCAGCGGCATGGGCAGCTCCCAGAGTGTTTCCTGACACTGATGAATGTTTCTTTCTGCACTGCTTTCAAACCTCCTCCGCTGTCAGCTCCCGGAGCAGCCGGAAAACAGATGCGCTCAGAGCCGCGCTGACGCTGGCCGGGCAGGGGGTGCTGGGGGACTCAGAATCCCTGCTCCAAAATCTCCCAGGCAGAAACACTCCAGGGTGGCTCTGAGAAACGAAAAAACTTTCTTTTTCCTGCTTTTATTGTTATTATTCTTTCATACTTAGCTGTGGAAAGGTGTGGGGAGTGCTCAGGGCAGGTTAAAGCTCCTGTGCTCCTGCATCGTTCCTGAGGCACAGCTGGATGCCAGCATTCCTAAATGGCATCAGGAGGAGCCTGGGAGCTTCCCAAAGCCTTCCCAAAACCTTCCCAGTGTCACTGCTGTGTGCTGTGGGCATCCCAGGGATGGGATGGGATGGGATGGATGATGGATGGAGGGATGGATGGATGGATGGATGGATGGATGGATGGATGGATGGATGGATGGATGGATGGATGGGGTACTGGGATATGAAGCCACCCTGAGCACCCTCAAGCTGACTTCTTCATCCAGAAAGGCTCCAAAACACCAATCCCAAGGTCCAAGCCTCTTCCCAGAAGTCATGCCAAGCCCTGAGCTGCTGCTGTTGTCTCCACAGGTGGATCCGGGGGGAACACTTCAGGTACAAGTTCAGCCAGCCCGGGGGGAAGCACGCCCGCGACGGGAAGTGGTGGATCCGGAAAAGGATCGGCCCCTATTTCCCCCCCGTCAACCTGCAGGGCCTGAGGAAGTTCTTTGAGGACAGGAATTGGCCTTATCCCGTGCAGGACTGAGGGAAAAGGATGGCCAGGACAAGAGGGACCAGCGGGGAAGATGGAGAACGAGCAGCTCCCTTCCCAACACCTCCTGCCTCTGTTTTATATCCATATCCTTGGTCACGCCTGCTTTCCAGAACATTCCCAGCCAGTTTGCCCACTTGCTCTGTGAGCTGCTTTTTCTCACCTCAGTGGTTGATTTCTTTTGCCAGGCTGCTCCATTCAGGAATTCCTCTGGAACTGGGAAAAAGGCAAGCAAATAACCATCACTGGTTTTGGGCGAGGCGTTGGTGTTGCCAAAAGCAGCTGAACGTGGGTTTGAAACAAAAATGGGAAAACAAACCAGGAGGGATCTCTGGGGTTGTGTGGGCTGTGGAGGCAGGCACAGGAATGCCCTTTTCCATGTTTCCTTGCACCTTTTTGACCACATACACCAAATGGGCACCACTGGGAACGTGTTCCTGGAAAGGGATTAAAGGAAACAATTGTTGAATAACCAGCAGGAGCTTCACTGGGTTTTTGTTTTTCCTGGAAGTGCTAAAAAGGGAAAAAAAGAAGGAGCCTCAGTCTCTACCAGGGACAAGGCAGCTCCCATGGGAATGGGGTGGCAGGTGAGGAATGAGGTGAGTCCTGGGATTGATTTGTGTTTTGGGGAGAATCCAAAATTTGTGTGGTGTCCAAATGTCTGTCCCCATGCCGAGGATCCAGGGCTGTGAGAGGAGAATTCTCCCTCCCCTTCTGCCCTGGCTTCCAGGGTGCCTTTGCTCAGAGCTCCCTCGTGGTTTCAGTGGATTTTCCAAGCTGCTCCTTCTCCAGGGGGTGCAGCCCTGGATGGGTGCTGAGTGACAGGAGATGGGTGACAGGTGACACCCCCGGGCACCCAGCAGCACTGCCTCCCCCTCCCCAATTTCATGAATTTCTTTTGCTTTCCAACCTCTGGGTCAGGGATAATGGATCCCAGACCAGCATTCCCATTCCTGTTTGCTGCTTGTTAAGCTTTTTTTTTCCCTTTTTTTTTCTTTTTCATTGCAAGCTCCCTGCTCTGCTCCAGAGCAGTGCCTGGAAGATAAAACCCATCCAAAGGGGCAGGAGGGGATTCCATTGGAAACGTTTCCCTGGGACAAGAATTTAGAAAAGAAAAGGAACAATTATTCTGAGGTGGGAGGAAATCAACCAGCTTTGGGCACTGCCAGGGATCCAGGGGCAGCCACAGCTGCTCTGGGAATCTGTGCCAGGATCCATCCAGGTTCCATTTTCAAACATTCCTCTAAAAACATGGATTTGGTTTGTGTTTTGGGAACGTGGCCCCTGTGGAGGGGTCAGTGGTGAGGAGCTGCTGGAGATGAGTTTGTGTCCATGCAGGAATGCCCAGGAATACCTACACTGCAGCAACCCAGAGAATTCCTTATTCCTGCATCTTTTATAAATCAGAATAATTGATTTTAAAGCAGCCAAACTCCAGGCTGGGAATTCCCATAGGAAATACCTGCAGCCATATCCATTCCCTGCTCCCAGCTGCTTGGAAAAGCTGGCTTTGCTTGCAGACATATGAAAGGAAAAAGCTTTTGGGGGTTTTGTTTTGTTTTTTTTTTTTTTTTCCTTCCTGGTAGATTGAGTTTGGCCAAACAATTCCGTGTGAACTGCTGGGCAGGAGGCACAAACCTGTAGGCAAAATTATCCAGCTGCTCCAAGTTTAGAGCAGCATGGGATGAATTTCAGGATCGTATATTAGTTTCCATTTAATCTGATTATTCCAGGCTGGAGTTCCTGGAGGGTCTTCAGGTTATTGTCAGTCAAAAGAATCTTTAAAAGCTTCCATTTGCGCTCAACTTTTCCCATTCCAAGTCTATTTTCATTATGGATCCATTTTGATTTTAATGAAAAAATGATTCTCCCAACTCCCTGCTTTCCCCCCCGCCCCACTTGGGGTTAAAATTGAAGCCACAATGGGGTCTTGCCACTCAAAATCCCATTTTCCAGCTTTCCTGAGGGTACTGCTTGGTTGAAGGAGCTCGGGCAGACAATAAGGGGCAGATAATTTGGGAAGGCACCTTCTGTGCTCTGCCTGGGGCCCAGCCCCTTCCTCACTGGGAGAACCCTTCGATGCCTCCAGTCCCAGGGCGATTTCCAGCTCCAAATGCAGGAAATTCAAATGCAGGATTCATTTCTGCTGAAAGCCCCTTGCTGTGCTGTCACTGCAGGGGCTCATTTCTGTCACCTCCTCTCAGCTGCAGCCCCGGGGGCTCCAGGGGGAGCAGCATCCCCCAGGATTGGGAAACTGGGGATCCCAGTTTGTGCTGGGTGGGGGGACACCCCTGCCAGGTCTGCCTGGAGTGGCAGCTTTGTGGCACTGGGGTGTCCATCCCACCTCTCCCCAGGGAAAAAAAACAACAGAGGGGCATCCAGAACTAACCCCAAAGCACATTCTGGGTTTGCACAGGATTTACAGGATGTGCCTGGCTGAGCTCTCCAGGTGCCACCCGTGACCCCAGCGCTGGCCCAGGGAGGGACACGGGCAGTGCCAGCCTGGTCTGTGGGAACATCCCTGTCCTGGTTCCTTGTCCTGCCCCAAAGCCTCAGCTTGTCCACGTTTTCCAGGCAGGCAGGTGAGGAGGACAAAGCTGAGCTCTGGAATTGTCCCCGTGTGAGCTCTGGAATTGTCCCCGTGTGAGCTCTGGAACTGTCCCTGTGTGAGCTCTGGAACTGTCCCTGTGTGAGCTCTGGAACTGTCCCTGTGTGAGCTCTGGAACTGTCCCTGTGTGAGCTCTGGAACTGTCCCTGTGTGAGCTCTGGAACTGTCCCTGTGTGAGCTCTGGAACTGTCCCTGTGTGAGCTCTGGAACTGTCCCTGTGTGAGCTCTGGAACTGTCCCTGTGTGAGCTCTGGAACTGTCCCTGTGTGAGCTCTGGAATTGTCCCCGTGTGAGCTCATTCTTCCACAGATTTTGCCCAGTTTTTCCACAGATTTTGTCCCATTCTTGCATGGGTTTTTCCCCATTCTTCCACCAATTTTCCCCCATTTTTCCAAAGATTTTTCTCCATTTTTTCCACGGATTTTGCTGTGCCCATCCCCACGTTTCCCCCTTTCCCAGCACAGGCTGGATCCTGCTCCCTCTGCAGTAGCAGCTCCGGGTGGGATTGCACAGGGCTGAGCTTTCCCCGGCGTGTGCCGGGTGCTGGGACAGCTCCACTGAAATCACAGCACCTGCAAGTGGTTACTTAGAATAATAAATAAGTGATAGATTATCAAATAAAGCCTTGGCTTCGGATGAGGTCATCCCTGCCCCGTGTCCTGCGTCTCCCAGGGTTCCTGGGCTAAATCCCTCTTGTATCAGGCAATAAAAAACTTGTCAGGATTAAAGAATCAATTAGGAATTAGCCAAAGGGGCAAAGCGTAACCCAAACACGCTGATAAAATCCAGTAGGTGATTATGGGAACGGCTTTGATTTCATTGGGCTTTGGAAAGGAATAATTGCTCCTTACAGAGCATGGAACAACCCAGACTGGGTATTTTTCCAGCTTTATGGAGGAGGAAATTCTGGTGAAATTCGCTGACAAATGTGGGGACACGCCACGGTTCAGGGCTGAAGGGAGTCCTGGATTTGAGAAGCATCATTCCCTGGCTGGAAATATTATCTTGGGAGTCTTTTCAAGGGCAGTTTGGATGGGGCTTGGAGCAGCCTGGAGTGGTGGAAGGTGTCCCTGTGGCACCTGTGGATGAGTTTTAGGGTCCCTCCCAACCCAAACCATTGTGGGATATTCCATGATTTGGATGCAGCAGGATGGGCAGGGATGTGCCACAGCTCCAGCACTGCCTCTGCTCTTCCACAGGCACAGGAAAACACAGCAAGGAATTCAAGGCTGGGTTTAGCTGTAAAAACTCCTGGAAAAGCTGATTTTCCCAGCTGGTGATGGCAGGGAGGGGATGGAGCACTCCCAGCGTGGTGCAGGAGCAGTGAGGGGTTGGATTTCAGGGGAACAGAGCCCGACCCTGGCTCGGGGGGCTCCGTGCCACTAATCCCTGTTTATTCCCTGTCTGGCCCAGCCACCCACGCTCCCAAAGCTTTTGTTCATGGAGGAGATCCAGGGACAGAAGATCCCCCGAGGCACATCCCAGGAATGTCGGTGTCAGCCTCATCCCAACTCCTCCTGCACAACTCCATCCTCCCACAGCTCCAGGCTCGGCCTTTTGGGGATCATTTCAGCCACGGGGCAGCCCTGCTGCTCCTCAGCGTGGAGAAAGGATTTTTGGGGGAAAAAATCTTTTAAGGAAGAGGCATCACATCGGGATTGGAGTTGGATCCGTGGGATGAGCTCCCGGAGCAAGGCAGGAGCAGGATTTGCCCTCCTGTGTGACCCCAGGGGCTGGAGCAGGTCACTGGCTCCTTAATCCTCAGCTCCTGGGCCAAATTCCAGAGGCAGCTGCTGCCCTGGAGTGGGGTCTGAGCAGGGAGGTGGGATCAACACCCCAGGCTGGACATCCAGCTGTGCCCCCAATGAAGTGTGGGAAGAGGCAAACCCCTTGGAAATAAAGTAACTAGAATTGTTATCATTGATAATTAGTTAGTAATAATTAATAGGCTAGAATCCTGAGACACTAAGGGAGGTACTGTTTGGAAACAAAAGCCCAGTCCCTACATTTGGTGGAATATTTTCACATCTTTGCCCCTGGAGCAGAAGGAGGCCAAGAACCAGCACCAGGCAGGCCAGAATTTGAATTCAGGAGACAAATTTGGGCCTTTTCCCTGTCTCGAGGAAAACCTTCACTTTTCTGGGAATGACCCAGCCCTGCCTTGATGCCACCCTGCCCATCCAAGGCAGGCCGGGCTGTCACAGCTGAGCTTTCCCTGCGTGTCCCTGGTGCCACCCTGGAGCCACGGCTGGGTTCCTGTCCCTCTGTGGCATTTCCAGCTGCTGCAGCTGTGCCCGGAGCTGCCTGTGCCCGCCGGGAGCAGCTGCGGGTGCCTGGTACCCGCGGGCTCATCCATCCATCGCCGGGCACGGGAAACGGAGGAGGGAGCAAATCCTGGGAATGCCCTGGGCACAGCGGGGCTGAATCCGCAGCATCCCTGGGGGAGAAAGGGCAGGGTGTGCCCGAGGGGTGGGAGCAGGGGATGAGCCAGGGGATGGGAGCTGGGAATGAGCCAGGGGATGGGAGCAGGGAATGATCCAGGGGATGGGAGCAGGGAATGATCCAGGGGATGGGAGCTGGGAATGATCCAGGGGATGATCCAGGTGCAAGGGATGGGAGCAGGGAATGATCCAGGTTCTGAGGGGTGGGAGCAGGGAATGATCCAGGGATGGCAGCTGGGAATGATCCAGGGGATGGGAGCTGGGAATGATCCAAGGGATGGGAGCTGGGAATGATCCAGGGGATGGGAGCTCATTCTTCCACAGATTTTGCCCAGTTTTTCCACTGATTTTCCACCATTTTTCCATGGATTTCGCCCCATTCTTACAAGATTTTTTTCCCCATTCTTACACAGATTTTTCCCCATTT